CAAGGCCGGCCAGCCCCGCTTCTCCTGTTTGAGTCGGGGTCCCCAGAGACTCACCTGAAACTGGAGCCCAGAGCCTGAGACTCCCTCCCGATTGAAAACGACAACCGAGCCCTCAGCCACCAGCCCGCTCCGCATGCACCTTAGTATTTTACTTCAGCACTGCGCCTCCTCTGAGTCTCGGTACGCTTTTCTCTTTCCTTCTAGTTGTAGAATTTCCACTCAGCCAGCCTTCCTGTGATTCTGGATGATGTCCATTCCATCTTTTAGTTGTACTTTTGAAGTGGTTGTTCGAGGCAGCAAACTCAGGTGTTTACCTATGCCGCCATCTTGGTTTCTCTGGCTCTTTTATTAGGATGCTGTTCTTTATATATGAACAACATCTATGTAGAAGCATGCGTCTCTGCATATTATATATACATACATATGCATATATCTTTATATATGAATCTACATATACATGACTCATATCGTAAGATTTTCTCCTATGTCAAGGGCTTTAGCCCAATGACAGAAGTTCAATTTTCTTAAAATTTCACTGTTCTGTGATGACTGTTGGGTTACTGGTAGACCCTGGGCCACATTCCTATCACTTCCTCTGAAGGCTCTACATCGATCTTTGGAGTGGGCAGACACAGCCCCACTGAGCATGGTCATTGCAGGCCCATGTCCCTGCCGTGTGAGCTGCAGGTGGAATATTGGTTGCAGGTTATCTCTCACTTCCCCCCAACTCCATTCTCAGGCTCGGAGGAAGATGATACTGTCTGCTCGATGGAAATGTAGCCCTCGGTGGTCAGAATCTGCCATTAAATGTGATTTCCCCACTTACACAGGACACAGGGAGCAGGACCTGCTTAGATCCTCATGGCCATTTCATCAATAGGAAGTTCTCTGTTCTCTCTCGTCCAGGGCCTACAGAGACTATCAGTCTGTACATGAGGGGGAATGGGCTAGAAATAGAGCACAGGTAACACACCATAAGCCACTGAAACTGTAGCATGGGGTGGAGTCACTCCCGCACAGATGGTGGCTGTTGTCCCTTATAACCCTTTCCTTACAGCCTTTGGGGAAACTTAACTAAACATTCCTTCAGAACTTAAAAACTCAGATGTTCTAGGTCCTCAAATGATGGTGTTTTTCAAAAACTTTGAGTTAAATATTTGTGTAGCACTTTGCAATTTACAAGGTGCTTTTCACTTACATAATTTTAAGTAACAAAATCCTCAAACACTCCAATGTGGTTTTATTTTAAAGGAGGAAATCTGAGTTTCCATCAACTCAACAAGCAAGATAACAGTGCCCAATGAGAGCTTTTAAGGGTCTGTAGAATTATCAGTTCAAAGAAACAACAGTCTCCCTTAATACAGCCAGACTCAAGTAACACTTGATCTGTCATTTTCTTTTGATACTTATTGCTGATCTTGCATAGCCTTACTTGTTTACATGCCTTATCTCACTAGATTTGAAGTTCTATAAGGTAAGATCTCTATGGGATTTTTACTTGCACCATTCACCGTGCCAGGAGACCTGGCAGGCCCAAAATTGTCACTTGTTGAATGAATGAATGAATGAAAAGAAGTGAATGAATTATAACCATTTCAAATTAATCTTCTGGATTTTATTTGGATTATATGAAGAAAAACCCTCAAGGAAGGAAGCTAAACTAGAGACTTGAAGAAAGACTATCTTTCAGGACCTCCTACGCCTCTGCAGTAGTTAGGGACTTTATAACTAATAAAAGGCAAGTGCATTCTTTCTGAAAAAATTGGTTAAGGCTCTAGGGTTTATTTTTACTAACTCGCAAATACTAAACCAGCAAGAGCCCAGAGCTTGCTTATCAATCAACCTTTCCTCTTTGTTTATACCAATTAGCAACTTGGGTTGTTTTTTTTCCTTCCCTCCACAGCATGATGATCAAGTAAAAAGAATCACAGAAACACACGGGGAATGAAATATGTGAATAAGGAAAAGGCACACACAGCACAAACTCCTTTTTCCCCAGATATTTTTATATTTTTTAACCAACCCCTCAGCCTTGAGACAGGCTCTATGATAGGTGTGTGTGTGTGTGTGTGTGTGTGTGTGTGTGTGTGTGTACATTGGAAAAATAGGAAAATAAGGTCAGCACAAACACTATGTGTAGGCATGAATCAATATAAAACGAAATTTCGAGTTTTTCTTAATACTTAAACGACACTGAGAAAACTACACACAAAAAAATACTAGTATACCCTTGGAAGTAGGGCCAACAAATCAGG